GGGGGGGGGGGGGGGGGGGGTGATAAATCGAACACAATTCAAATAATAACACAAGTGCGTATTCGTGTGCGCCGTGTTTTTCGGCTTTGAAATAAATTAAGTGATTTATTTGGGGACTTGTGATAGTTTTTTTTTTAAATCTTTTAATATCCATGCTCATAAAAAAAAATTAATATCATATATGCTTGGTGATGATCAAAGTCGTTACATACATGCTCATATCGTGTACACACGGGCTTTACCATAAAAATGTATGAAAAATTAAAATATAATGCTCATAAATAGATGATATATGTGAATATATGTGTGTGGCGGTGTGTGTATAATCGTGTATAATGACTTATGCGTGTGTATATAATAAAATTAAAATATCGAGTAACATTACATTAAAAATAAATATTTGGAAAGGCATGCATTAGCTTCTGCAATAATAAAAAATATATATCGCTATATGATCTTTTATGTATAAAAATCTCTCGAAAATGTTTACGATCAAGCGTTGTAAAAAAACAGCGTGTAATAAATAGCACCACGAGAACATAGATAAAACTATTGCGTTTGAAGGAGAAAAAATTAATAGCATAATTGATCTCGAGAATCGGAAGCATTTTCGAGCAAACTCCGGCAACAGGAGCGTCATTTTTAAATCATAACATCAAACTCACAACATTTTCAACGTTGCAACGCGTATGTCAATCGATTGCACGAATAACCCTACGTAAATATATAGTAACTCTACACTGTGCTCTCAACCATCTTAAGTGAAAAGTCATCGATTATTAAATCGCGCGTAAATCTCTAACGTAAAAAGTGACAAGCAATTATTTTTGATTATAATATAGATTATTATTCGACTTCATCACGATCAGGCACTTGATCTATAATAAAATAAGATCGAATAAAACTTTCGACCTATACTACCACGATCGATGCGTCAAGATTCAAGTGTTATTAAATACCAACAGTTTTCAATCCTTGTATTCATTTCGAAGCTCGTACGCGGGCGCTAATCATTGGAATTCGCGCAGTGGCGCTGCACCGCTCGCAACGAGTATACGCGGATTTTTTGTTGTCCTCTGCCTTCTGCGGTGCTGCACAGTCTTCGCGTCTCGACTTATACTCCGCCGCGAGAGCTCAACGACCAAAAGTAAAAAAGGCACTCGTGAGCGCGGAGCGTACATATAAAACAGTCTTTGTGCGTATGTGTCTCAGCATCGAATGTCTAATTGACGAGATCATACATGTATGTACTCGATCGGTCTTACTCACGCGTATATCGCGCGCAGTGCGTGCGCGTGCATAAATAAAGATCGTCGCAGAGCTTTGAAAAGTCTTTGATTCATCGGAATCGCTTCGGAGTATTGCACTCGACGACGATCGTCTCTCGTCGCATAAAGCGAGCTCGATCGTGTATACAGTACGATAAATAATTAAACTCTCGCTTCGATCATCGAGCAGTCTCCGCTGCACTTGAGTGTGACTCGAGTAAATAAGTATGATAATGCGACTGTGCTTGTGTGAGTGCGTGTATGTGTGTGTGTGTGCGTGTACGTGAGTAATACGATGAATGAGATGAGAGGTGACTAAAAAAACGTTTAAAAAAAAAAAAGAAATAAAAAAAAGGAAGTAATCGTGATCAAACTATGACTACGGAGCCGGTATCGTCGTCTCCATTGGGCGGCGAGTGACTACTACTAGTGTGCGAGGGCGGCAGCCTACTGGCATTGTTAGAAACGGCAGTAGCGGCCGCCGACGACGAAATTGTCTTGAGATCATCGTACCTAGTGGCCGGTGAGCCGTTCGGGCCCAAGTCGTCGTGGTCGAGGCGCGAATTGCTCGCCGCCAGGCCGCTCATCGAGTGGCAGTGCATGATCGGCAATCCGTGATGCTGATGCTGATGATGCTGATGATGATTGTGTTGCTGCTGCTGCTGCTGCTGCTGTTGAGACTGCTGCGAATGATGATACATGGGCATCGGCTGATAATGATGATTGTTGTGCTGCTGCTGCTGATGATGCAACATTTGCTGATGCTGCTTCTGTTGATTATGCTGGTCCGGCTGCTGGCCGTTGTGCTGCTGCTGCTGTTGCTGATTATGATGATTATGATGATTTTGCTGTTGGCTGGGCGCAGGGGGCGGTGGAGTCTGGTGATGCTGCTGCTGATGGTGCATCTGCTGCTGCTGGCGATGATGGGCCATCTGCGACTGCACCACCGTGTAGGCGATCTCGCGCCTCTGCTGCTCGCTCATGCCCGACGTGTCGACCAGGCCGAACTCCAAGTGCCTGTTGATCATTGACACACACGGTCGACTTTGAATTAATCGCGATTCCCAAAGAGGAGGCGATATATTTCCTTTGACTCGATACGAGTGGTGTATGGACGCTTATATACCCGGGCGTAAACGCGTACGCGCGCGCAAAAGGCACAAAGATATACATAGACGCGAGCGAAGAAGCAAAATTTCTGCAACTTACTTTCTCAGCTCATCCGGCAGCGGGTGCTTCGACGATGGACTCCTGTGTTTGCTCCTGTGTCTCCTCCTTGGCTCGGTTGTGCTGATCTGAAAACGGTTGTACGTTCGGGTATATACGTAATTCCGAGAGAGGCGCGCAAAGTTTTCCAACGATTAAATATTGTTAAACCATGGCTGCCTTTATCTCTCACTCTATATATATAATGTGTACTCTATCATCTCGAGAGTTTATAAAGCGCCCCGAGTTGTAAACAACACTGCAGTTTCTCGCGCGCGCGCGCAAGCGTATTTACATCGTAACTTTGCTATCTGCATCTATGTGTATTATATAATGCGTGTATGCGTTAGATGTAGATGCGCGCAAGGATATGTGTACGTACGCCAAGCAAGCACGCGAATTCGACTGCAGCGTATAACGAAAAGCTTCGAGCTTTTATGCTACGCTATGTGTGTATATAAAAGACAAATATTATATGTATACGCTTGTGTATATGTACTTACGACTGCCCTCTGGATTATTTCGCCCTTTCTGCGCTGAGCCTCGCGCCACTGGGGCGCCGAGTCGACCATCTCGTGCCTGCTGCAAAAAGATAACGAACGCGTGTGCGATGCAGTTTTCCAAAAATTTTTCATTCAAATTGCATGTAATTTATATCGAGGTCACATTTTTTTGTATTAATTATAAAGAGCACATCCTCCGCGGATGTTATAGTTATGTCATATGTACCTGGAATGTCGGGAGCTTCTGTGCCTCCTGCGATGCTTTCTGTGGCCGGACTTTTGCGTGGAGCCGCGCGACAGCTGCGACTCGCAGTCGGACTGGCGATTGTGCTTGCGATGGCCGCGGCTGTGACTGCGCCGACGACCGTGGCCACCACCGCCGCCGCGACTGTGACTGTCCACCGAGCTCTGGCTCTCCACGGAGCTGCTCCGACGATTCAGCCGGTTCAGCAGCTGTAACAACGCACCCACACCGATGCACGAGACATACAGAGATGAAAACTCAATTTTTTACACGGAAACGTCCATACATAATTAATTCGCTGCGGGCACGTATAGTACTACGCGCGCGCACGCGAGATAATGAAACATTTTCAATTTGTGAAATTAACCGCGTGGAATGCTCGTTGCATATTTTTGCGGCAGAGAATGTATAATTACACCGAAATGCGTATTTGTATTTATACTCTTTCGCCGTAGTGCATTTAACAAAATATTTCATTAATTTAAATAATTATATGTAAACCAACTTTATCCAACTCAATTACTTCTCATGGCCAGAAACATAAAAAATTGTCGATTAAATATAGTATACAAATTCGTTGTGAATTCGACTTACCGTCGAAGCTGCTCCGCACGACCTCACGGATCTCGGACTGGACGACGTGTACAGGCCCCTGGGCTGGCTCTGGGTCCAGGGCGCGCTCCTCGTGCTCCTCGGGCTGGGATTCTGATTGTTGCGCGACGCGACGCTGCCCCCGCCGCCGCCGCCGCCGTGCGCCAGGCAGTTCTGGCTCTGGCCCATCTGGCCGCCCTGATGATTGCCCTCGACGTAGCCGCCGACCATCTCCTGGCCCTCGACGACTCGGCGCTGGGCGCGACGGCTCGGCATGCGGGTGAAGCTCGGCTGCGCCATGCGCCTCATCTTCGTTCGTGCAATAATGCGCGACATTTTGAGAATTATCGTCGTTTATATATTGTAATCTTAGTACGACGCGACGTAGTGTGCGCGTGCAAATTGAGCAACTTTCGAGCGTGACGCGATAGTGGTCGAATTCATCGGGTGTGTCCAAGAGACGGAGAATTAGCGCGCGCGGGCTCGATGCCAGAAAACGAACTCGCAAAAAGTCCCAAATGAGCAATTTGGAAATTCTCTCACGCGCGAAGCTCGTTAGGACAACAATAGCCGCCGTACATACGGAAGTAACGAACTAGTGGCATAGTTCGTAGCGCACGCGGTCACTTATACAGCTTATGCACAATGTGGCGCGTATATATATATAGGCGAAATTATGCCAAAAAAAAAAGAAAAAAAGAAAAGAAAAGGGAAGAAAAAGAAAGAAAACCAACCTGTTGCTGCTTGTCGCTGATGGCCAGGCCGGAGACGCTGGTCATCGGCGGGCTGTAGGAGCGGAAGCGCGAGTACGGGCTGAGCGGCGGCGGCCCCGTGGCCATCAGCCGGAAGAACGCCTGGTGGTCGATGCAGCAGCGGAAGAGGTGACGGCAGGCACCGCGCGACGGCGTCTCGAAGCCGTGCGTCCGGTCGGCCGAGTTCTTCTCGCTCACTCTCAGCATGAAGTACTTGCCCTGCAGGTTGCACAACGCACACACAACAGTGCATGGAATCAATGCATGAATGGGGATGCAAGAGAGAGAGAGAGAGAGAGAAAAAAAAAGAAGCGACAGAAGGAGGTATACGAGGGAAAGGAGTCTATGTACTGTTATAAGGTAACCATAAATTGGTTTGTAGCGCATGTGTCGGATGACTCGAGAGCTGCAGGCTGAAGCACGCGACACGCGACACCCTCGCTCGCTCTCGATATTACGTGTGCGCAGCCGAAAGTCGAGATTTTGCGTGCAACGATCCTTGTTACATTGTGTCCTATATAAAGGCGAAGAGCACCGATCATATGTGCTATAAGCGACGAAAGGTGTGCACGAGGCACAGCTCGATCGAGCCTCTATACATATACTATACGCGTAGGTACGTGTGTACCTGGAATTACGCTCCAGTTGCCGCGAGTTCGCTCTCTCATAATGTCGATGTATAGTAATATCGCGCCAAGGCAGAAGCTGCTTTATATTTATGTAGCATAATCACGAATCAGGTGAACGAATTACACGCACGAGCTCAGGACTACAATCGAAATTTAAACAATTAAAAGCTGCCAGCTCAAATTTTTGTCACTTGATGCATGTAATTGACGTAGATAATTGATCGTTGAGGTCTCAAAAATACATACGCGTAAACAATGAATACTTTGATAAGTACTGTTCCCGTAGCTATTTCTGTATCACTACTCATTCCGTGGTTCATCTTGCCGAAATCATTCAAAAATGTTCTCTTATCTGGGTTTCTGTTAGTTAGGGTACGTCAAAAATGTTTCACGAATTTTTGTTAAGTACTGTTGCAAAACTTGCTATCATATTGTAATTTTTATAAAACTAGTTCATTCTCACGAACCGAAGAATGAGTTTGTTTATTTCTCATTTCTCCGCAATAATTATATCGTGGCTAGAAAAATTCATTAGACATAATAAACTCAATGTAATTTCTTCACAGATATAGTTATAATGACTATATAACTGGTAAACAACTGTAACAATGAGTATACTCAGTTACATCTGAGTTTCCACCTCAATAGGTCGATTCATCATTCGATGAAATTTTATGAAGTAAAATTTAATAAAATTGTTCAATATCGCCCTGAAAAATCCGTTTGTTATTTTATCGTCCATTCAACGTAGAGTTCTTACATATCTCAATAATTGATATAATGAATTAGTTTTGTTTCGCTTACATTGATAACTTTGAAATAAAATGGTTTGAAAAATATTATATAAAGCTACCTACACGGAAAGATAGCGTAGGTAAAGAGATGTGCTTGATCTTTTGTTTACATCAAGCATCACATGTATGTATGGTACGACCTCTCCGTGCGTTGCCCAGCTCAGTATTTTTCTGCGCGTGCCATTGCCGTACGCTACGCGGAGGACTGTGTCGCGAAACTGACCGAGCATACACATGACCCTCTTCACAGACACACAGGTTTTCGAATTAAATAAATCACAGAAGAGTAGTATTTGCCAATATTTTCTTGTTTAGTTAGTTTGATTTGTCAAATCATTAACTGTTAACAAAATTCTGAATGAAAAAAATGGATACCGGCGGTTTATTCAACTGTGTTGTCAGGTAATTTGAATCTTTCGAAAATGAAATTATAAAGATATCATAAAATAAAACTTGATCTTATTGAGGTTATTTCAGGGGGAAAGAGGAGCCAACTGATATGTCTAGTATTGAAAACGATCGCGAGATGATTGATAAGAAATCCGACCCAAAAAACTTTCAACTCCTACCATTTCCATCAGCCAATTCGGTAAATGTTGATAATAATATGTAAATCATATTTTTTAACTGAATATTTTCACTTAACTTTGATTATCCAACAGATGAAATCTGGTACGATGAATAGTGATACAATCCACGCATGTGAAATGTGCGGAAAGGTATTTAAAAAAAAGAGCAATATGAATAGGCACATCGAATCGTTACATAATTGTGTTACCTACTCATGTGACATATGCGACAGAAAATTTACACAGAAGGGTAATCTCAAAATCCACGTCGATACGATCCACTATAGTGTCAGACATATATGTGATGTATGCGGAAAGACATTTTCACAAAGATATCATCTTAAAATTCACATTGACCAAAGGCATGATGGGTTTAACTGCGCGTGTGACTTGTGCGGAAAGACATTTTCAAGAAAAGATAATCTTAAAACTCACATTGATTCAGTGCATGATAAAATTACCCATTTATGTGACATATGTGGAAAGAAATTGTCAAGTAATGGTTATCTAAAAAAACACATCGCTTCAGTGCACAATGGTGTTAGACACGCGTGTGATGTATGCCAAAAGACATTCTCAAAAAAGAGTAATCTCAAAAGACACGTCGATTCAGTGCACAATGGTGTTAGACACGCATGAGATATTTGCGTTAAAAATTTGAAACAAGAACTGATTCAAATGTGAAACATTAATGCGGTGCATGAGCGAAAAATACAATCTCATAACACTCATTGATTTCATACATCACTCGCGTCTTACAACTTAATGAACGTACAAAATTTGACGAACGCGTCAAAAACATTAGTTAAAAAAATTGTATTTGTAATTATATCGCGAGTTTCTCCAATATTATTTCATTATATAAAGTGGATGTTTATGTTATAAAAACATCAATAAATTTTTTGAGAAAAATCAAACAAATCATAAGTTGTAAGCCAATCAAATTGTAAACCCTTTAGTTAATGCAGTAAGTTATTTTTCTCAGTTAGTAGTATAACAATCATTGTAATATCATCTTTTCAAATCTTAGTGAAGATTTTGGTAGTGTCCAACACGGAATATGTTAACAGAAAAACACAATTTCTTTTCCTCTGGAACTCAAAAATAACTGAAGAATAAATACATATGAAAGTACTCATTATTTCCGCGTAATAATATAATTTTAGTACCTCAATGAACAATTATCAAGGCCCACTACTCGCGTCGAGTAACAACAATTTCAATCGGATTCGTATAACACGTGCGCAGAATCGAGTCTTTTACACGTTTTCGCCGTTTGATCGAGAATCTCGTTGGTTCTTTCTTTTTTGCAGTCATTTTCGAACTCATGATTCATCTTCATCGATCGCCTACCAATTTATTAATGTACAACTCGGCCAATGTACACCGGACTGTAATCCGCGGATATATAGCGTAGCAGCAGCGCCCGGGCGACAGTGAAACATTCGGCTGATTTTTCTTCATACACGAACTAATCCGAGGTACAAAAAAAGGGTATGTATAAGCGCGGGTTTCATACAGGAGGTAAGCAAGACAGAGAGAAAGAAAGACTTGACGAGCCTCGGTGTACTTTATGTACCTTGTGATAGATTTTGTTGATGCGCGGCCAGTAGTAGTTGCCAACTTTCGTCTTGTTTCTCAGGAGAATAATGCCGCTCGGTGTCAGTCCGAGGAAATATTCCACGCAATCTTCTCCCTGTGCAGATATTTCGGTTTTTTTGTTGTTGTTGTTATGGCTATACATAGTGAATGTGCATCCACGAGCTTCCAATATGCATATTATACGGGCAAATTAAAGTTTTGCAACAATGGCAAAATCCTTGAAAAGCTCGTCGCGCACGAGGGTGGGCTACATTACTCGGTGGTACTCACCAATACAGGATGAAGATCGACCCCGTACATTTCCAGCCATTTCACTTTGTCCAAGTAATTCAGCTCGGCCGCCGAGGGTAACTGTCCGCTGTGCGCAGGGAAATATGACAGATGATTGTTATTTTTTCGACCGACCGATTGGAAGGCATTGTAACATAATCTATGATCGTTGAAAAAAAAATTAAGTGAAAAAAACTCACACTAAGGTTTTGTGCAGCTCGACTATTCTCGCTTCGAGCTCCGAGGTTTGATTCGCCAGGAATCGAAATTCGGACACGTAGCCGTACGAGTGACGCCTTGGATCGTAATCCCCAAGCTCGGCTGGAAAAAAAGAACGAAAAAAAATGAAAATTACGCAAAATTACAATTAGTATAAAATATTTTTCCATTAATTTAATGTTGAAAAAAGAGAAAGATTAATGAAAAAGCTCGTCGTAAAATTGCAATTATATGCTCGGCCAATTTACATGTTATATATTACGAGAAAAACATGTGCACACGGGCCGGCTCAAGTCCATACGATTCCGACTAAAATGTAGCAGCAGCAGCGGCAGTGCAGGCGGCGGCAGGGGGGAGACGCGCCAAGAGCGCGTCGAAATTAATCCTTGGGACTCGACGCATAACAAAAATGTCATATCCTCGTCTACATCGCTTCAAAAATTCGAGCGAGAATGTAAAGCGCGTACGCGTATTTGCGTTTAAATTGAATCCCGTATGCCCTGATACATATAAGCTTCGAGATATAACGTACGCGTGTATACGTACGCGATGAAAAGCTTTCGAGGAAGGGGAGGGGTGGAGTAAAGCTTCGCGTCCAACTGCTTTACAGCGGATGACGTGCACGGTGCGCGTAGATATAGGTAGTACACGCTATTCACGTAATCGCGAGGCGGACATCTCCTGACGTAGAAAAAGTATCGTTCAAATACGTTAAAAGCTCTCGCTCTCTCTCTCTCGTACTGCGCGGACAGACGAGAGCTAGCTCGAAGCCTCCGCTATACACATGTACACTCGTCGGTCGTGTGTGTGTGTGTGTGCGTGCGGAAAAGAGATGAAGAAGTGGAAGAAGAAGAAGAAGAAGTCGACGAGCTTCAATGAGCAAGTAAACATAAAGCAGATTAGAAACCGCAGCGGGCTTATAATACAGCTAGGCGCTTGTAACAGCAGCAGCTCGACTGGGACACACAGACTCTTCTCGTGTGCAACAGTGCAAGTCGACGCGTATCATATATAGCTAATAGTCTCGGGCCGGCCGTTTCCATTACCCTTTCGCCGTGAAATTAGAGCGAAAGTTTCTTATCTCCCGCGGGTAAAAGTATAATATATAGTCTACGCGTGTGTATGTGTGTATAGAAAAAGAACGAAAGGAAAGCTCTAGCTAGAGTAAGAGAGAGAGAAAAGATGATAGGTAAGAGATAGACAAGCAAGAAACGCGGAAAAGAAGCTGCAGTAGCAGTCTACTACTGCCACTACTACTATTGCACTATCCGAGAGCTGATGCACAGCTGCTACTACTGCAGCCGTAAGGAATGAAAAAGACGCTCGCTAGTTACATATTACTCGGTCCTATCAGGCCAGTAAGATTCAAAGTCTCTCTCTATCTCTCGCTAGACTATGCGTAAGTAAGTGTGTGTATGTGTGTTTTTTTCTAGCTGGCTAGTACCATATACTCTCTATACGTGTGCTTGCACGCGAGCGCGCGGACAAATAGAGAGATATATCACAGAGTCATAATGTTTGCGTCTCATTCGCTATAATAGCTAGAAAGAGCCCTTGGCGCCATCGTATCTCTTACTCGCTCTCTCTCTCTCTCTCTCTCTCTTTACTGTGTGTATATGCACTCGCCAATTTGCTACTTCTACTACTACTGCTGCTGCTGCTGCTGCTGCTGCTGCTGCTGCTAGGCGTGTTTGTGGCGCGAGACTCAAATGGATATGGCTTGGCTTTGTTTTCTCTTTCTCGCCCAGCTCTGTCTCGCTCTTTCTCTCTCGGACCTCAGAGCTCTGTGTACATGTCTCTCTCTCTCTCTCTCTCTGTTACTGGAGCACTCGGCCAAAAAGCTTCGGCAGATGTGTATCGCTGTAGCGCGCCGTTGGCCAAGAGGCTAGCACAATTTTTTCTCTCTCTCTCTCTCTCTCTCTCTCTCTCTCTCTAGCGTACGCTTTTCTGCGCGATGCATACACGTATACCATGCGTGCATAGTACATTTGCTCATTGAGCTCGCGAGATTGAAAGATATTATACGACGATGACTGCAGTCTCTCTCTCTCTCTTTCTGCTGTGACCGACTGACTGACAGACCGCGATGTTTAGTCAAGCTTTTCATATCTATATGTGCGTCATCTCCGCCCGCGAGACTCCAAGCTCGAAGACGGGTTTTTCATTATAAATATATTATACGTATACGAGTGCGCGAGTTATCGGGCACGTGGCTTCAGACTCGCGAGTCGGACAGTAATGTGGATGCAGGTACTATGCGAAAAGCAGCCTGGTACATTTTCGGATCAGGTATATGTGTGATGTACGGAATTTTCACGAATGCATTATGTATATTTGCTGTACAGAAATGAGATCGGATCGGTATGGAGCGTCTTTAAACTTTGAAATCGATTTTTATAGAAAACAGATGTACATATGAGTTTTAGCGGATACAAGCGGTATTGGGGTCTAGAATCTCGACTTAAAGACTGTTTTTCTACGTTTTATAAGATACCAAAAGCGCGTACAAATCAATGTTCTATGTGTGTAGAGAAATTCAACAAAGTATACTTTTGATTCATAAATATTGCATTGAATATTGCATTGTATATAAATTAAAATTATGTTATATTAAAATAAAATATGTTTTTTATTAATCAAACACTTTATTGTCTACTCCTATGATTTGAATATTGATTTATAATTATTGTTTTTCGTGTAATTGGTTAATTTAGTGTTTTGTATATTTTTAGTCCTACATGTCCCATTAGCTGCACACACGCACTAAACAAGCAAAGTACAGAATAATGGTTACATGAACCCTCAATGCCCTTTGGATATACGACCCAATTCCGATATTAGTTTCAGAATCAAATTTTACTTAGCAAGGCGCTTCGAATGGGACGCGTGTGCATGAGTGCATTGTACTCACATTGAACGACGTAGGCGCCTAGCTCTGCAGCGAGATCAAAGGAGACCGGAAGTCTGCCCTGCAGTATGTCCTGTTTAACCTGAAGAAAAAACTGGTATCTGCAACAAAAAGAGAAAACAAATTGAAACTTGGGTAAATTTAATTCGTTGTATTGACATTTCAATAATACGTATAGATTTATGACATGAGAAACGCGTTTTTATTCTATCAGAAAAAATTTTTTTTGTACATAAAATCTCACAGAGATTTATCCATATAACAATTAAGTACCTATCAAAATGTTCATCGTTTCCGGGGTTTCTCTTATATCTGGTACCTTGATGAACAACTATGAACAACGGTGACTTTTAAAAGTTAAATAGAATTGCTCACATATGAGCTATGCACTTCTTCGAAAGCTCGTGCCGCAAGTTTAAAAAGTGTACCTTACACACGCGCGTAAGCCTTTGATAGTGCAATCCAAGAGCAGCTTTTATGTATAACACGCAATACTACATTAACGGCTGCAGCAAAATGATTTTACGAGGGTTGGAACATCCCCGGCGCAACGATATAACGTGAAGCAGAGAAAGGAGGTTTATAAAGGAGCGAGGAAAGTATCCGCGCTGTCGCAAACTCTTGCTCGTGCGAAGAATGAGATACAGAAAAAAAAGGAAATCGCCTAGGATCCAGAGCTTTTTTTTTGCTGCACTGCGTTAGATATATATATGAACAACTTATACTGCTACGTGGCAGGAACGCGTCTACGTATATCCAGCTACACGGCACCATGTGTCAGTAAAGAGAGAGAAAGAGACAGAATCCCTCTCGGTCGCTTTTTTTTACGAGACGAGCAGCAACAACAACAACAACAACGACGACGACGACGACAACGGCACCAGCACGACACGCTCGTCCTGTTTACTCTTTTTACTTGCGCGCGCGAAACCCGGGAAAAGACAATAAAAGCCGCATTGCGCGAGTGACTTTTTTCGTGCGCTTCCAACACGCTACGTACCATCTATATACGTGTATATATAGACACGCACGCGTATATATAGAAAAGGGCTTTTCCGCTTACATCGCGTGCACCGTTTAACTTTTCTGCCTCGATTGTTTTTTTTTGCGCTCACGCTCTCTCTCTCTCTGTCTGTCTCGATTTTTTTTTCATCCAAGCCAGACGCGTGTACGATCGCGCGCGCGCGCGCGTGCGGGTGAAAGTGTGAAAAAAAAGGGCGGAAATAAAAAATTACCGGAGTCATAAAAATTGGCGATTGATTTTTCCAACCCGCCTATACGTGTACGCGCGCACGGAAGAGAAAGAGCGAATGAAAAATATGTATACGTAGATAGGGGGAGGAAGGACAATACTTGTACAGCTTTATAATTCCCGCAAGCTCGCGCGTGCCCAGCGCACGATCGGAATTAATTATAATTCACGTCCGATTCCCGAGATACAGCGAGTGCAGAGCCTGCGAGTATGAGCTCGCGCGCTGCAACACAAGATATGCTCGCGCGCGCGTTACATACTCGAGAGCGCGCGCGGGACGGCGTAAAGCACGTAGCATTTACGCTATACGTATACACGGTAGAATTAACAAGAGCGAAGAAATCTAACTAACGAGTTATACGTGATGCTGTGTGTGAGTGTGGGTGTGTGTGTGTGCATGCCCGAGCGTATGTGACTCGCCGCGCGCGTTATTTTACTTAACAAGCTTTGAGCTCTTTACATGGCATAACTTTATAATTGATATTTATTTTTTTCGAGCGATATCGTTAATTATAAATTTGCGCGCGCGAGTACGATTGTGACGAGGTGGCGAATAAAAAATGTAAAAATACCCTCGACGTATGAGCTCGCAGCTATGAAGATATCGATTTCTCGAGCAACGAAACGTAATTCGAGTATTATTAAATACGTAGAAAGAAGAAGTAATGTAACAACGCGCAAGCTCGCTCACTCGCAACGCATGTTTATTATCCTAGCTCTGCGCAGAGAGCAACATTTTCGATGACACGCGCGGAATCAGTCTCGAAGATAAAATATTACATACGACATCGTATAGCCGACGTCTCCGCGAAGCGCAACGCATCGCGTACTTCTCAGGTTTGCGATGCAGGGCTTTTACTTTCTTTTTTTTTTTTTTTGTACTACAACTGTCGCACGGATATCAATGAAACTCGCTCGCATCGCTCGGTGCGCGTGCGCGCGGTAACTCATTTATCTCGCAGTTAATCGCACGGAACGCGATAAAAGCGGAGAGACGAGCAGAGAATCGGACCGCGGGAAAACAAAAGAGCTTATGAAGTATTGCGATATTGAAGTCGTCGCAGCTCCGAAGAGAACGAGAGAAAAAAGTACGTCGGTTGACTTCGGTGCACGCGTGAGCGCGTCCTGTGTGTACAACGTAATTTAGATTATAGCGACATTTGTCTAAATCAGCTGCAACATCTGACATTCATTCAAATATTCATTTCGTTTTTTCTGACGTGAAAAATTTGGGCATTTTTTATTAATAATATGTACATATTGTTATTAACTATCACCTTGTCCTCAGCAGAAGTAATCCTTCTATTAATAAATGAGTCAAAGTCTCTTATTAGCACGCGATCGATCAATTCAAATTGACCTATCTGTCAAAAATTCAGTATTCGACTGAACGTTCACCATCCGTAGCTCTAGGGAAGTAGTGAAAAAATCCTCTGCTGATCGTTGCATAAAAAGGTGTAAATCGAAGTAGCCGCAATAAATGCGAGATCTCGCTTTTTTCAATATACGAAATTTTGTCTAATGAAAAAGGTGAGCAGCAAAATGGGTAAAAAATGATGTAAGGTTAAACAGTACACAAAATTGTTATAAGTAAACACAATTATATTGACACAATTCATAATTCAATTGCAGAAAAAATTTGCGTACAATTGTTCACAACATTGTTCAAATAATATAAAAACTTCTAATTACTTCTTAAAGGAAGTACACGTCATTCGTCGCGGAACTATTAAGTCCACGTGAGCAATTCCAGAGTCCGATCTCCAAAATCTTCAATTAGAGTGGTAAAAAATGAAAACAAACAATTTGTTTTGCAAATTGCTTTTAATCAAAAATTTGATAGGTAAAAAGATGTAAGCCCCTAGATAACCGAAATTATCATGAAAAAATGTTTAGCATTATTTTACTCAAAAGATATTGAATTAAGAATAAAATTTTATAGAACGAAAGTGTCTTAAAATTAATCAAGAATTATGATTAAATTTTTTACAAATTTTGAATGTTAATTTTGATCATCAACGAGTTAAAGTCTTTATACAGCTAATATTTATGACATTTTTGGAATTAATACCATTTCTAATAAGACTCTTAAAAGTAACTACCATTTGTCAATACCCGCGTACAAACGAATTTTCCTATTCATTTTTTTTAACTCTGCAATTGAAGTTTTTTTTAGAATTGCTTGTATGAATGAAATAATTTCGAGCCATTGCTGTAAGTAATAAATTATTTATAAGATAAAAATTAATTATCATTTCACATGATATTATATGCTGCTACACATATTGGCGAAATATTGAGAAAAGGCGCTTGAAATTTATCCATATTCATTAGTCGCGAGTCAAACGTTTGTTCGCGTTTGCTTTAGTTTTTTGTTTGTCAGATAAACGCTTATATCTGCAAATCAAACAATTATAGCACTTGTCCAAAAGTTTGTCTTTGTGAATTTTCTTTATTATTTTTCGGTGTCTGTTTAAATCCGATGAAGGCCTAGATTTCTTTTTGCTCTCTTTACTTGCATCATCTTTGCGAAATTTATGAACTAATTCTTGGTGCCTTATCAAATGGCTTTGTATTCCAAATGTCTTGTCGCACTTGTCACATGCATAATTTTTGCAGACTTCATTGACTATTTTTTGGTGTGTAATCGTATTGATTTGATTCTCAAATTTCTCTTCGTTCTTATCACAAGCGAAATTTATGCGTTCTTCGTGTACTGGCTTTTGGTTGTTGATCAAATTTCTTGAATCTATGAATTTTTGGTCGCACTTGGCACTTGCATAATCTTTGCGATCTTCGTGAGCTCTCAGGTGCAAGATCAAATTCCCTTTTTGTCCGAATATCTTCTCGCAATGGTTGCATGCGTAATCTTTGCGAAGTTCGTGTACTGCTTTTTGGTGTTGGAACAAAACTGCCTTATGTCCGAATTTTTTCTCGCATTTGTCGCATCCGTAATCTTTGCGACCCTCGTGTACTGTCCTTTGGTGGACAAGTAAAAGTTGTTTATATCCAAATTTTTTTTCGCACCTTCCGCATGCATAATCTTTGCGACCGTCGTGAACTGTTTTTTGATGTTTCAATAAATTCGATTTCAGTCCAAATTTCTTCTCGCAATTGCCGCATGCGTAATCTTTGCGACCGTCGTGTACTGTATTTTGGTGGCAGAGAAAACCAATTTTTTGTGAAAATGTTTTATCACACTTGTCACAAGCGAAATCTTTGCGACCTTCATGCACTGTCTTGTGATGCTGAATCAGAATCCATTTATGTCCAAATTTCTTCTCACATTTGTCACATGCGTAATCTTTGCGACCCTCGTGAACTATCTTTTGGTGGACAAGCAAAGACGATTTCAATCCAAATTTACTATCACACTGGTCGCATGCGTAATCTTTGTGTCCGTCGTGTACTGTATTTTGGTGGTAGAGCAAACCTGATTTTTGTTTAAATTTCTTTTCGCACTTGTCACATGCGTAATCTTTGCGACCTTCATGGACTGTTTTTCGATGGATGAGCAAATTTGATTTTAGTCCAAATTTTTTCTCGCACTTGTCGCATGCGTAATCTTTGCGACCGTCGTGTACTATACTTTGGTGGTAGAGCAAACCTGATTTTTGTTTAAATTTCTTCTCGCACTTGTCGCATGCGTAATTTTTCCGATCTTCATGAACTGTTTTTTCAAGAGAAAGCAAATGCTCTTTGTATCCGAATTCTTTCCCGCCCTTGTCACATACATAATCTTTGCAATAATTGTCAATTTTGTCTCGGAGTGCTATCATGCTTGATTCTAGTGTAAATTTCTCTTGCCTAATATCATAATCTTGTTTTTTTTCGTCTGAAACAACAATTTCATGTTCACTTAAATGATATCTTGAGGTAACTTGATTGGATTTCTTTTCCCTTTCATCCATTTTGGTGCCAAAATTAAAAAATGGATCCGTATATTAAGTGTCACGAAAAATTAATAAGTAAAATTTATCTGTTAGTATGATGTTGTGTTTCGTCGTGAAAGATAAAACTCACACTAATTTGTTTAGCTAGGTGCTCGGTGTTCAAGAGACGTTTATGAACGTATTGTTTACAAGTAAGTCACATTCGTCTATATTTATGTATTGTCCTCATATATATAAGTCAAGGCAAAATTCTAGCTTAGTGACGATTTCTCGGCGGAGAAATTTTATAAAACCAAAAGCTTAAATAAAATAATGAAATATATTTTTAATTTCATTCATACAATAATATGGGTCAAATTTAAAATTTGTAACTAGTCTACGCGATGGGTTCTCAGGTTTAGACCAAATTCAAGTATCTTTCGTAAAATCAAAATTGATCTAAAACCTTAATTTTAGCTCTCAAATCTTAAGGGACACCAAGAATGCATGCAAATTTCCGTTTTCTATCGCACTGTTTCTGAACGCACAGTTGCTTTCAAAAATCTAAAAGAATGCCCGAAGGTATATTCTGATAATTTTTCCCTAAATCTTCACATGTCTTTTCGCTTAGTTAATTACGTAGGACCAATTGTGAAAGCAAATCCGTCGATTTAATCGATTTCATCGCGATTCCAATCTCCAATTTTAAAATTGTTCACGCTCTTCATTGTTTATCCATCGCGAGTCTAGGTTCATTCTTGCATTGAATCTGGGACTGCTTTTCCAAATATTTCCTTTAACGAAATCAAAATTCGTTATCTCGTGCATTGGCTTAATTTGGAATAATTTATTTTTTTTTGTAGTAAATACGAACTTCACTCGCACGCATCATACATTCGAATAACATAATATATAATTCGAAGCTCGTAATATCATCGGTGCCCGGCAAGTATTACAATAATACAATCGAATTCCGCACGCGAATAATTTCGCGTGGAGCGCAAATTTATTCTTAAGGGGAATTTATCCGTACGCGCGAGCGTCGTTCGTACACATCAATCCGCCGAAAAGTTTCAATTCGCAGCTATTTTGGCAGCGATAATACCCCGGGCCCGATTAACGAAATACATTATCGTATACATATACGCACGTGCGTACGCATTTGCGAAGCCAAAGGATCATCGACCTCGCGTAAACTTATTGAATTGTGTATACGTGTGCCCGCGGGGAGATTATTATCGCAACTCCATACTATTATGCCAGTTTGGGAATACGCGCGTCAAAAGCCAAAGCTCATGCGCGTGATTCGCGCGCGCGCCCGCGATAAAATTCACGTATCAGCAGCTGGGCCGAAATTAATCGAATCGAGCAATTTTTTGAAAACTTTCGTCGTTGATTAAGAGTCAACGATCGTGCGCGTAAAAGCCGATCGCGACTCAAAGTAGCCCCTGTGCGTGCCATGGAACTTTTTCGAGCTTCGAATATTACACGCGTCAGACACGCACGTGTTCATGCAAGGATCGTCGTCGTCGTCGTCGCTCGGCTGCTAGTAATATTGAAAAATATATGACGTACCATACATATAGGAAAGGAGCTTCTCGTACGGCAGCAAGCGAGAGTGAGCAGCGTGCGCAGTGACGCGTACTGCGCGCGATGCATAAATTTGCGTCGTCAAATACACACGTATAGGTAGAGCCGCACAGCGAGAGTATATTATACACTAGTGCATTTAATGTCATACGTGTATGTATGTACGTACCTCGTGATTTCCTCGATGAGCTTGCAGGGATCGGCGGCGTAGAACTTGACGCAGAAGTAGAGCGTGTGAGCGTCGGGGTTGAGATCACCCTTCTTGGCTTTGAGCTGCTTGCCAATCTTCTTACTCGGATCGAGCCATTGCTGTGTGCAGAAAATATATGCGATATGAAGTCAAGTAGGCGTGTTACCTATATAGTAGGTTCGTATTCAGATGTATACTTCCTACTACATACGAAGTTATTTATATATATAGAGAGAGTCGCGCAATTCAATCGTCGTCCACGCGCGTCGCAACGGGCCGAGCCCTACACCGTATACATAGGTATACGATGTAGGCCATGCACACAAATAGCCGGAAATTGTTTGCAAATTACACGAAAGCTCGGGCCAACGTTCGCTTCGAGTGTACGCGAGACTGCAGCGAGTGAGCGAGCGAGTAAATAGCTAATCAGAGTGGGCAGATATCTTTTATACCCTGTGCACGTATATATTTTGCGCGCGTCTAATAGTCGCGCGCACGCATCGCTCTCGCTCTCCGCTGCTCTCTTTCACTTCCAATTTCACTATTCGTGTACGGCGCGCGATAGAGACGTTTATTATGCCCCGCGGTACGGCGACCGATGCCAAATTGACAATTTACGCGTGCAGTCGCAAAAGCGTAATCGAAGGTCGTGAGTATTTTCTTCCCAGTGCTCCGATTGCGAGGAGGTATAATGTAGAGTTGCGGGCGTGTACGCGCCCTTTCTGCAGGCGGGCCGTATCGCGTACTTATTAATAATAGACATTTTTGCAATTGAGCAGCGACGAAACGTAATAATAAGCTTATCCGGAGTACATTGGTGCGAAACGGCGTTCGAAAAAAAAATAAATAATCGATCGAAGTGCCACTCACCGTCTGGTTCTCATGGTCGAGATATCGAAGACCGAAGTAAGCAGTCTCGAGCAAGTTCAGGTGTCGGAAGACTCTGTCCATCAACTCTTGGCCCAACGTTGAATTCTGAAACAGCATTTAAAAAATAGATGATAATTTGAACTTGTGATTGTTTAATATTTGATTATTTTGGTAATAAACGATATAACGATCATTTGAAGTGTTTTCAATTATTTATCCATAAATTGGATTTATTTTGTCTATATTCGTTACAATTATATTAAAAATGAAGTGTTCCTTAATACTGTTTCAAAAAATGTATGATAGTTTGAAACCACATTAATATGATAATATCACTTCGAGTCTCCAACACTAGATGGCGAGTACCTTTATCTACTAAAATCTGCTAGTGGCTAAGTTAAAGCAATGTATAAGAGACAAAACTGATTCTTTATTTTTTAATATAATGTTCTACTAGTTGTACTACTGTGCGCAACGTCGAAAAAATAATGAGTCGACTAGGATAATACTCCAAGCTGATCCACCAATGTACTACTGCGACAATTTTTATTGAAATAAAGTAAATAAATTGGGTACGTGACTCGCACATGCTCATCTCGATGGATTAAATTGCTCTTCGAAAACGATGCTCGGCATGGTGCACTGTAAATATTTCCAGCTCGTCATGTGCTCGCAAAAATTTACGTTTGACGCGCGCGACGACGACGACGACGACGGAGAGTGCGAAGTGGGATATATCAAAAGGAATAAAGGCGCGCAGCGCTACAGGCTATACATGAGTCGCCGAGCTCGCATCGCACGGGGTGATATATCACTCGCTCGTACATGTGACGATACAAAGCAAATCGGGATCTCAATTCGTGTCGTACGTTAAAGTATAAGTACTCGTTGGCTCGTACGTAGTACACACACACACACACACACACATACAATAGACACACATACTTACACAAACTCAGCGGAGTATTAAAGGCGTGCACCGTAGCGTCCCGTTATATACAGATATAGCAAATTGCAAGGATGTCTGTATACACACGATGCACCTCGACGTACATATACAGCCGAGTGCAGTAGCATCGTGTACCGAGTAGTCCCTTGGGTAAATGCGTACAGGGAGTAGTAGAAGTAGTGTGTAGTGGTAGAGCGCAGAGGCAAGAGAGAGTAGTGATATCGTCACGGCTCGCTGCTGTCCCTCTGGGAACCGGAAAACGATGATTTTAATCTCGCACTTGGCGCGCGACGAGCAACGAGTTTCCATATAATATACCCTTAGCTTTGCGTATGTGCTATATGCGCGCTACGTGTATCCGATTTTTTTTTTTTTTTTTTTGACGATACACGGCTACTGCCTGAATGCACATCCTTTTTTGTCCTGCGTCGAATCTGTTTCGTCAAAATTGTCGCGTCGTGCACAGCTGCTTCACGATGGAGATTTTTTCAAATATTCGGGCTCACATGGATCGCGTTATAGATAATTTTTGTTCTAAGATCGATTCGAAAAATATAAGGTACACATGATATGTATGTCAGGTATAAGAGTTGAGATGAGCTATATAGAACAAACGAAGGAAGACAAATTGGCATTTCTAATTAAAATTTGAAAGACATGATCAATGCGCTCATTAGTGACAAGTTCCGGATTTAATCACCAGATGTCATAATCGATTCCAAACGCGAAAAAATTAAATTTTGTATATTTATAAGTACGCCTGTGCACAGAGGTCCATTCTCCTTTAGAAGATTTTCCTTTAACATGATCTGCCCCTGCATGGGTGGTTATGTTTTAAACGCAATAATTAAATAAATACTTGTAATATGTTTGTAGAATATTATTCAAGGAATATCTTGAAAAATGAGGATGACCTCGACTTCTGACGGGCGAAAAAATTACAATACGAAACAGTCGTATAGCTGCGGCCCGTTTCATTATTAGGCCCAAACGAATTATTAAAATCTCCAGCGAGCGAGGATCTGTGTACAATTTGTGCCTATGCATAAATAGATATACCGCGTCCTGCAACCGCGCGAGCTCGTACGTGCGAATGCACGTGCACGCGCAACTTTATCACGCTCGCGAGAGCGCTGCTTTCGATGATCCGCACGCTGCGGGCTATTTATGTTTAATTAATATAAGATACGCTTCGCGCGCGCGCGTATACACGCGAGTACAGATAAATTATCCCCTTATTGCCCCGTGCGTATACGTGTGCTGCACTAGTCTACGTACACGAGCTTCCGATATTTGTTATACGCGCGTTAAAAGTCTATTTTATATATATATACATATTTAAACTCGAGCCTATTCGCCTCTCACGTGCCTGCGAATAATATACGAATGCAGATATAGGCAGATGCGTGTGTACAGTCCATGCGTAATATTTCATTTTATCGCTTGGAAAATACACTCATATGTATACGCGGCTACCATCGATAAGCGTGATGATGATGATGATGATGATGATGATGATGATGATGCTCGCCAGTGCATGTGCTGGCGCCTCGTATTGTGTGCACTGCACCAACGCGCGCGCACTGCATATTCGGAAATGCATATCGTGAAATAATCGCTGTTAAAAGCCTACTTGCGAGTGTAGGTGGTATACATTTGTGTATACGCGGTGGAAAAAAAACACCTCTGTATACGCGCGAGGATTCATTTCTTTTCGCGAATATTACATCGCTTCTGGCTGTTAAATAATAAAATTTCAATTTCCCCCTGGCCCCCCTCTGGCTTGCAGAAGAAAAAAAACGCGAAACGAAGAACGCGAACGCGAGCGGATAAAAATCTTATATCTTGTAGCACATGCACATCGAGCTCGCGTACGAGTCATCGCAACTTTTTGTTATTTTTTTCTTCATCGCGAATGTTGCGCGCGCGTGGCCTCGTTACAGAATCCACACGGGTTCGGAATGATAAACGCGAATATACTTGCACTTATTTATTTAATGCGCCGAGTTTTAAGCGTAATAAAAATAAAAAAAAAAAACAAGTAAGAAAGAAACGCGCGCGAGGCTGCCTTGGCGCTGCCCTTATAAACACGAAACTCGAGCTTGCAAGCTCGTCTCGCTCTAAGCCTTTAATACACGCATACATATATATAGTAACGGTATACACATAAAGGGAGCGCGCGACTGCGTACGCAGGTATGTCGGTATATGTGGTGGACAAAAAGGTTTGTTTCGCGCACGCCTCGGTTACGCTGGGATATAAAGTCGTCGCAGAGAGTAAAACAAGTAAAAAAAAAAAAAAAAAAAAAGAAGAAGAAGGAAAAAAAACGAGCGTAAATGGAAAAGCGAAAGACGAAGAAGATGTGGCACAGCGTCGTCGTCGTCGTCGTGCATGTATATAACACACACAGGATAGAGGTGCGTATGCATACATAAACACGTGCAAAACCTGGCGTGACTGCAGGCTTGACTCGTGAGCGAGCCTGACTGGCGGCGACTCGCGGAGGGTGAGAATTAAAGCTCGAGCGCTTATATGAAAGAGAGACCGTACAGAGAGTATATAAGGTATATATAGGAGCCTGCGTTGGCAAGCCAGGAGCAGCAGCAGTACAGCTATAGGGGGGGGCAAAATCGTTGTTGACGTGCAGGCAAAGACAAAAGAGCCGCACGACGACGACGACGACGATGACGACGCGAGGAGAAGCGCGTGCAAAAAGAATTGGCAACGCATATGCAGGAGAAGCGATGAAGCCCAAGAGAAAAAAGCTTGCGCGGATTTCTAGAAAGATTCGATGCGTACAATATACGTATAACTGCACGCTCGATCCTCGCAAGAGCTCGAGAGCTTTTAAATGAACAGGTCGGACAATTGGCCGCGGCAGTATATAAATCTATATAAGTACATACGAACTCAACTCAGCCGTGCCTCGTTTATAGAGCGAGACGACGAGCCTTGACGTGCGTTTTCGCGCCCGTACTCACTTACGTATGTTTTTCTCGCTTTGACCCCTTAGAGGACAGACATATATTATATATGATGTATATTGCGCGTCGTATGAAGCTCTCGACACCCCAAGCGAGCAGCAGCGCGCGATCCTTTTCTTCTTTTTTCTCTCCTCCTCTTCGGCTTCTTTTTTTTCTTTTTCATTCGCGTCATTGCTTTTGAAGAAGATTATTATTGATATACATACGAGTGTGCGGTGCGGTGCGGTGCAAACGTGTGTGCACGTGCGCGTGGGTGACATCGGCGCGATCCCTCCGCCGTATAGTTCACGTCGTCGTTGCCGCGTTAAACGATGAAAGCTCGCCTATGCGCGCATACGTGTATATAAAATATGATATATCCCAAAGACCTGATGAGATGTATAATAGCGCTCGGCTTTTATATTTCTTTCTTCGTGCTCTCTCGTCCCCTCCGTATTTTAGTGTGCGCGTTTAAAATGCTTATACGCGAGCGCAGTCAAGACGGATTAAATTCAAATGAATTGCATATGCCGCGCGGCGTATACGTATACAGAAGAGGGGAGAGAAGAGGCCTAGGCGTATGTCTCGCACCCAAACGAGAGTATAACGCATATACCGTATTATATCCGTTTACGCGAATCTGGACTCGTGCGCGTATTTAGACGCCACGGCGCGCAGTAGAGATTTACATGAAATTAAACCGATGCATGCGTACGCGCAAGCTCGTTTGCTCTCCTATTTTTAATGCACGCGGCTCTTTTAGCCTTTTTTTTTCTTCTTTTTTTTCTTTCTCTTCTCTCCTTTCTGTACCGCAATACTCGTCGTCGCGGCTGCGACGCGTACATAATATTATACTCTCGTAGAGAACGTGAATTTGGATACTTTGATTATAAAAGGTTTATGCGGTTTAGTGTGCTCGGCGCCATTTTTTATTTATTTATATCTACTTTTTTTCGAATCGTAGTGCGGTAATATACGCGTCTCCCGTCTCAAGTTGTTGGCTCAATTAAACGCTTTTCTATATGCATTAATAATTTTTTTCATTCGCAGGCAGGAGCAGCTGACAAATGCGCCACAAATGCACTTTTCATCTACGGCAGCTTGCCGACGGATATATTGCCAAGTGCACGTGCGCGAAATAACGTTAAACGCGCCTACCCGCGCAATATTTACAGATATCGCGCGCGGCTGCT